TGGTGCTAATTATCTATCATGGGAAACTGGTTACTTCATATGCCATAGTGGATATAAAAGGCTGTTATTGCTCATGTTAACGTCCTTTTCTTGTGATATTGATTTAGGAGGTGGTTATAATGCACTGGGCATGTGCAAAGATAACCGCTTCACCAGCTATTCAAGACTCTGCTCTTCTGGAAATCTTGCTTGACAAGGTTTGTGTTCTGATACATAAGAGAATCTACTAACTTAACTGTTTACAGTGTGTCTCACCGGTCAACCTGGCATTTGTGTTGCAGCTAAAATTATGCAAAGGCATATCTTATGCTGCGATTGCTGCTCATGCAGACAACAGTGGGCGCCGAAAGTTAGCTGCAATGATTGTTGATCATGAGCCACATTCTTCCAAGCAGGCATGTTAAATTGCTTAACTTCAGTTCTTCCATGTGGTTTGTGTGAATAATTTGGTTTCTTTGACAGATAACTGCACTTAATGTTGTGGCAACTTTTCAGAGATTAACAAAATCTGGGAACTTTTGAGATGATTCCTTGGATTTTGATAGTATAGTTGTTTTTCATTTTGCCTCTCTACATGTTTCCTGATATTTTAGTTAATTTAGAGTTTGCTGTTCACATGTTACAGATCCATTCTCAGTAACTGTCAGCTAAAAGGTAGCAATAAACTTGCAGTTCAGATAAAAATTAGTTTCAATGACACCACATGTGTTAAGAGTTAACTATGTCTTTCTTTTGTTATAATAGTTTGACAGAATATGCTTGTTCTATTTGAACATTATTGTTTTAGAGAACTTCTCAGCATCTTGGATACTTCAGACACTGTTTTACTTTAGATAATGCTTACATTGTAAATTTTGTAAGCAGGCTCTAGTTTGGCCACTTAAGTCAATTTGTTGTGACTCACAAATATCTAGAAATTTCTCAAGTATTTATGTGTGTGGTATCTGATGCACAGAACTAGCCATTTGTTATTCATGCATTGGTGGCGTATGCAAGGCTCAGCATTTTGCTGGTAGAATGTATTTTGACAATTTTGTCCTTGAACTTCTAAAAATAACACTAGCAGTTGTGTGTCTACTTTTAACAGGTTCCTTTACTACTAAGCATAGAAGAGGAGGATTCTGCCCTGGTAAAGGCAATTGAAAGTGGTGATACAGACCTTGTCTATCTTGTTCTGTTTCATATCTGGCAGAAGGTATTGCTATTGTTGAAACTAAAATTGCATTAGTTTGTGTAAACTATTTGGTTTGTGGGCCTATACCCATTATGTGAATTGTAATTTATGTCATGTATTGCAGAAGCCGGCTTTGGATTTTTTTGGAACGATAAATGCAAGACCTTTAGCTCGTGATTTATTTATATCATATTCAAGGTAGTTTGAAAAGCTAAATATGGGGGTAGCTTCATTTCAAGCTGTTGTTGAATATTGTTCAATATTCATATGTTTGTGTCTGTGTTTGTAGGTATTATAAGCATGAGTTCCTGAAGGATTTTTTTCTTTCCACAGGTCGACTCCAAGTAAGTGATCAATACATCTTAAAAAACTGGTTGATATATTTAAATCTTCTATACCTGCCAAACCATTTTTTAGGCTACAAATGTGTAGATGTATTTTTAATCTTTTTATTTGATGTGCTATATTGCAGTTGATACTTGATAGTATTTGACTCTGTTTTTCATTGATGACGAACGATATGGAATTTAGAAGACAAGTGTAACTGGAGTTATTAGAAAACATTGCTAGCTTGTAAAATGTGGATTCTTTGGCTTGACTCCTAATTTTCTTGATTTTTTTTACCAGCCAGCTGAATAGTTTTGGTAAATAGAGAACACTATATGTTGCCGTATACCCTTTACTATGAGGCCATCATTTGTTCTCATGCTACTCAAGTGACATCAATTTACGCATAGTTCACACGTAATTCTGCTTAGAGAACATTGAGGATATATCAGATATTGTAAATGGGCCTCAGTGTGTGATGAGGTTTTAAGAGTTATTTTATGGCAGAATGCTAGACTACTGTTCAGTTTGTGTAATAATGCAGCTGTGGTCACTAAATTGACTTGTGTTTTCTTGTGGTAATTATAAATTAATTATTGTGTTTTCTTAAAAGAATTCATCCAGGATTTTGAGATGTCAAAATTGCTTGATAATTAATTGTATCTACATAACTGTGAGAAAATTTAATCTTTTAGTAGATAAGAGGTTTGAGTATATGTGATTTTTTATGTTTGCAAGTTTTTAGAAGATATCTATCTATACTGGCCGGTCCTCCTTGAAACCTGAAAATTATCTGAGGCCTTCTATTTAATTGTATATGGTCTTTATATATGTAGAAATTGGGCTTTGCAGGATGTTGCTTTTCTTTTGTTAAAGGAATCATGGAAGTTAGAAAAGAATCCAATGGCAAGCAAAGGATCTCCCCTCCACGGTCCACGGATAAGGCTTATTGAGCAAACTCAAAAACTTTTTTCTGAAACAAAGGAACATAACTTTGAATCAAAAGCTGCTGAAGAACATGCAAAGTTGTTAAGGTAAGGTGATTTTATTAAACTGCTTTTTTTTTTTGACAAGTGGTACATTTGATTGCTGGTGAACCCACTCTTTTTTGGATCACCATACGTAGGGCAGAATTAGTTTTTAGCTTGTAAACAATGTCCTACGAAAATGGGATTCATGACTTCTGTTTTGTTAGGACATGGAATCATCCTTTTCTACAATTTTCTTTAGCTAATACATTGTTTCTAACTTTTTAGTTGTATTGGATATTCTTTACCACAATGTTGGAGGCTAATTTGCATTGGGACCTCAGTTGCAGAAATAACCACCAATAAATTATTAGAATATGAGAACTTGATTCAAAATGTCTTGCAATTTAATTTCTGATGTTTGATCCCATCAACATCTGTATGATTTATATGTAAAGATTGGTTCTTACTGAATATTTTGCACTAACATTTTGCTTGCCATCTCTTGAAAGACTGCAACACGACTTAGAAGTCTCCACAAAACAGGCAATATTTGTTGATTCTAGCATCAGTGATACTATACGAACATGCATTGTGCTGGGAAACCATCGAGAGGCAATGCGAGTGAGGACAGAATTCAAGGTATTTTGGATTTTACCTTTGGATGGTATTTTGGTGTGTTCTTTCATGAAAATCATATTGTAGGTTTCTGAGAAGCGGTGGTACTGGCTGAAAGCATTTGCGCTCGCCACAGTTAGAGACTGGGATGCACTTGAAAAATTTTCAAAGGAGAAGAGACCACCTGGCGGTAAGATGACTTGTACCCATCCTTCATGACTTCATTCTGGCTTATTGCGGTCTCAAGAAATGTTAATGGGATCTTTCTCTTGTTTTGTTTTATTACCCATCCCTAGAAATGTTAGACGCCTCAATGGTTTTGCACCAAACGTGAATGGGATCTTTCTCTTGTTTTGTTTTATTACCCATCCCTAGACGCTTCAATGGTTTTGCACCAAACGTGAATGGGATCTTTCTCTTGTTTTGTTTTATTAGCCACATGCATCATATATTGTGCATCATTAGAAGTTTAAATCTTAATATTTTCTTGTTAATCTTAATTGACAGGCTATAAACCTTTTGTGGAAGCATGTATTGATGCTGATGAGAAAGCAGAAGCCATCAAGTACATTCCAAAACTTACAGAGCCTCGGGAAAGATCAGAGGTAATTTTTTTTTTGTCATTTCTGGCTAATTTTTTGTTTTAGTAAATAACCTTACACAAGTGTTTTTCTACTCAGACAAACCTTGCAGAAACAGTTTTTTTTTTTTTTTCTATTCACTGCTATATCACTGTATATCCGCATAAAAATGAATTGTGCATTAGCCTTGAGAGATTGGTACTTCATGTATATATGGTTTATGATACTGTTAAGATGAACATGATGGAGTTATGCAATCTTGCCTCAGCAATGAGATTTGTAGCAAATAATCTATCCAAACTTTCTAATTGTCGGGCACCAGCCGTCTTTGATATTTGGAATTGGTTTATTAGTATTATTTGATAAAAGAGATTCCTAACTTGCAGGCATATGCACGGATTGGCATGGCTAAGGAAGCTGCTGATGCTGCTTCTCAGGCTAAAGATAGTGAACTGTTTGGCCGGTTAAAGCTGACTCTGGCACAAAATGCTGCTGCATCATCCATTTTCGACACCTTGAGGGATCGATTATCATTTCAAGGAGTATATTAACAAGACTTTTTCTTGTGGCTTATGTTTCAAAGGACTTCTAGCAGGCATCTTCTTGTGTCTATAAGCCTGCCTTTGTGTTGTTTTTAGTCTCTCGGATGCCCATCCATCCATCCATCACCAGTGTGCAGGTCATCTCATGAGAAGGTTTGCTTTGTATAGCAGCAACAATTTGTTCATCATCATATTTTTCCAAGATACTTGTTGTTTTCTATTTTCTTGGTTCAAAATATATATTCGGTTGTCTATAATCAGGCCTTTTGTGTCTAATGCTTTGTGGCTTTTAGTCTCTCAGATGCCCGTCCATCCATCCATCTCCACTGTGCATGTCAATCTCACGAGAGTAGGTTTGTTTTGTGTATCAACAATTTGTTCATCATCATATTTTTCCAAGATACGTGTTGTTTTCTTTTTTTTATTTCTTGGTTTATGAGAGATTTGGTCAGTTGTATTTCTTCTTTTTGGGGGCATTTGTTCTAGAATCTTCATGGATAGTTGTTCCACAGTGTGACCTTCCCTCTTCCTATAGTGCCGTTTAGTTGGTCTCTGGAGTCATCTAAAGCTCTTTCGTGGCTTTTCGATGACCCGAAAGGGAGGGATTTAGTAATCTGTTGGCACGAGGGCGTGTTATTAACGTTAAATTATTGACCGGCTTTGTAGTAGTAAATTACTATCCCTGAAGATGTGGACCACAAATCGATCTGGGGAACAGGTATGATAAGATTCAATTACCAGCCTAAAATAGGAGACCGAGATAGTCACGGCCAATTTGTTACAACAGATGTTGATTCGTCCAAATCTTTGATGCGTTAAAATATTGTAGGTCTGGTTTAGGGGAACAAGGACTTCATGATGGTCCACTTAAACAAACAACAACACGTAGAGGCACGTATTCAGCTCCAAGCTTATTGTAGATGCATTAAAATATTGTTGTACAACAAGGACTTCATCCAAACACACCACCACTGACGACATTACCTATTCATCTGAGCATAAAATTCTATCTTAAATTCTTTATTTGTGGTGCAAAAGCGGAGCGATGCCTTCACCGGCTATTCTGTGGCTGTGGCTCTCATTTCAGGCTTGGATAGACCGTGTCCTCGTACTTCCCACTCCACCTGTAAAATGATACGTCAGGCAGGAATCGAGAAACGAAGTTGAGGGGGGGGGGTTGGCGTTCAAAGTTGGAAGGTGACCTGCTCTTTTCATCGGTCGGTATCTGAAGTTCCAGTTCATCAGCAAATGGTTCAAAAACAAGGTCAACTTTCTCGCGGCTCACTTCTTGGAGGCTCGACGGATTCCACTACATCACCATACATCATCAGAAAGGCGAGTACTACTTAGCATAGTCAGGCACAGAAGAACATGAACATTCACACATACACACACAGGGGGAGAAGAGAGAGAGAGAGATATACCTTGGGGGCGTTGTCCTTATCGATGCTGAGTGCTCTGATGCCCTTACCAACCAAAGAAAAACACAAAGGGAAACAAGAATCAACCATCAGTTTCGTGTCAGCACAAACCAAGAGACGTCTAGGAATCTACTAGTCTGTCTCTATTGAAAGTTCCTCCTCTTAAGGAAGAATCCCCATTAAAATGAAAAATACAACAACAATCAGAAAAGTCGTCAATTTTGTCTGCTGCATACTACTTTTGGGAACGTTGGAACTGAAGTCTCCCACTGAGTCTCGCCATTACATAGTGTTCGACTCCTCTCTTTCCGAGTTCCCACTAAAATATGAAATCTAAACTTATGGAATGGTTCCCCACTGTCTCGCTATAACATAGTCTTTTGACTCCTCTCTTCCTGCATTCCCACTAAAATATGAAATCTAAGCTTGGCATGGAATGGTCAGAACATATGTACCTCGTACACATCAGAAGAAATGACTGATCTTAGCAGATTCATGGTGAGTCTGAATTCATTTTTTAGACATTCAGCTAAAGTTCGCTTTCTTCCTTGTCGAATCTGCAAATGCAACGTAGCCAAGTAAGACCCTTTAAGTGTTGGATCAAGTCAAGATGGAGAAGAAACCAGAACCAATTATCTGCTAATGCTTTGCAATACAAGACCACGCATGTCAGGGAAACCTCAAAATTTTTACACTTGATATTATTGTCAATCAGACCGAATTTCACTCCTAATTTACATGCATTAATGTGGAAATTCAATGCAAAAATAGGCACCTAAGAAGTTAACTTGTCCATACGTAAATGCAGAATTATCATTTTGTGGACTGCGCTTTAATGTTTCCCTACATTCCATCCAATCAGTTAAAATATCGGTATGGTAATTGAAATGCATATATAAGGAAGGTTGCAAGATTCAGTACGGATTTTAATGTTATCTTCAACCCAGTGGGAGAAGATCTCTTTAGCCCTTTGAGAATAGGAGAGATCCATTCGTTTCCGTCCATTTTTGACTCAGCTTCCTGCAAAAGAAAAGGTGAGGTAAGGTTCGCGTCATTGTAACACGTAGATGTGCTAACCATCAAAATGAACTTAGCTATTGTAAGTGAAGTTTATTTATCGTGTATGCAAGCATTAAAATCAGTGTTCACTCCATCGAGATTTGCATCTCGAAGATGAAAGCAGTTTACATCCACCTCAATATCTTCAAATTCACAAAATTTAGATAAGAAAACAGAAATTCCAATCAGAATATGATCCTATAGATAATATATGGCATCCAAGAGATCACTGCAGCAACTAATAAAGAGAACATCAAGATGTTAACGCAGTAATTAATTGAAGAAAACTCACAAATGATTTAATGATCTCTTCCACAGACCCCTCGCAGAAGCATTTATCAATTGTTGATAGCCTACAGAAGCCCACATCTAAGATATTTTCCAAGGATTAGAAAAAATATATGAACCACTAGTGATTGTGAGCCTTTACTTGTTCAAGATGCTTTCTTCATCAGGCTGAACATTTAGTGAAAATTCTTCCACTATTGCTCTGATAGAATCCTCGTCAGTAGAGCTCAAGTTCACCAAACAATTTTCTAGCTCATGCAATTTCTGCAATTAACATTTCACAAAATTCCTTCAGTGTTCTTCATCTAAATATGAATGGTCACCACGGTTGAGGAACACTTGAAACACAAAGAAGGGAGGAAAAAAAATGAGACAATAAAATTTTTAAAAACTAATCAGCACACCAAAGCGTTGACCTGAACATAATATGTCAAGGGGAACAAACAATTATTTTGATCTTTTACCTCTGATGGAACAAAATGTGTTGCAAGTCCTGCTGCAATCATTTCCTTCCCATTCAATCTTGCACTAGTTAAAGCCAAGAACTCCCCTGTAAATCCACTCAGGAACCAGAAACCAATGGGTTATCAGAGAAACGTAAACCGGCAAAATTAAAAGACATAAAAGCTACAGCTATAAAATGCAATTAATTAGAAAAATAACAAATAAAACGCAGCTAAATCTTTTTGTTGTAGCTCTTGGAATCCAAAGTTCCCTAATTATCAAAGACATGGTTTGCTAAACCGGCCAGTTCCATATGGTTAGACTTGTATTAATCGGTCCGACCCTCGGTCAATATATCGATCACCATAATCGGATGGTCCGATCGGCTCTGATTATATATATTATATACATAAACTAAAGCTCATGTTTTTTTTTTCTTTTCCTTCTTCCTCTCCTCCACTCCCTCCCGCAACAGTAGAGCAGCACGTTCAGGGGTTGATTCAGAGAACCATCATCTGAAACTTAGAAGCTCACCCAAATATCCAGGAAGGCGTGGAAGAATATAAGAAAAGCTGCAGTCTGTATGAAGTCCGATGCTTGCTTCAGGCACACTAAAAACCTGCCGGAAAAGAAATAACAGCTGATTACCCTCTTCCAGGGTCAGCAAATTTTTTTTTTCTATGATTTGGATTCAACACAGAAAAGGTTACAATCATAAAAAAAATTGTAAGCATCGCCGAGGGGAGATCAATTAATACGCACCGTTTTCTCTGTGACGACAGAAATTTTTGTTGGGACAACCATAGAAGCACCTCCGCCCATGACTATTCCATTAGCGAGGGCAACCTGGGCAAATTGAAGAATAGCTCCATGAAACCGAAGGTCAATTAAGTCAAAGCGGAAGCTCCCTCTCTTCCAAAACCAAGAAAAAGGTCAATTACCATGGGTTTCTTATACGTGTGGATGTGATAACACAACCAGTACATTCTGTATACCACCTCAAGGCAGGAATCATCTGCCAAAAACATCCCAATGTTTTATCATCAGCACAAGAAAGAAAATTATCGCACCAAATCTGTTAAAAGCTCGATCTTATCGTTCCAATTTGCAAACCTTTTCTCCCCTCGTAGAACATCTTCAGATCGCCACCCGCACAAAAGGCACGTCCGGCGCCCTAGAAACAGAGGACAACCACAGAAGAAACCACGTCAACCGGGAACCGAGCGAGAAAGACTCGAACGAAGAGAAAATGAATCAGACCCCGCACACACCTTGAAAATGACCAGCTGGGAATCGTCATCCTTCTCCCACTTCTCCAAGAACTGAGCCAGAAGAAAAACCTGCAACCATCGATTTCGCCATGTTTCTCAGTCCGTAGCATAAGAAGCAGACGTGATCGGATCACGGCCAACAAACGAAAGAAACCACGAACGGGAAGCACACCACTCTGGACGAGATGACATTGAGCTGCCGAGGGCGGTTCAAGGTGATCAACCGCGCATGCCCTACCTCCGCTGCAAGAACGACCTACAGAGAAGATCGATCCATCGATCGATCAGGAGATCACGACAAGAGAAGAAAGGAGAGCGTGATTCCGATCGGGCGTACCTCCTCGGAGTTGCTGTGTTCTCGAGCCATCCCAAGGTTGCAGGGCGTAACGGCGGTTGTTGGGGAGGGGGGATTCTTGCGGTTCGAGCAGTGGACACACAACTCGCAAAAATGACGCTTATAGGAAAGAAGGCGGTGGTTGTTGGTGGGGGTGTCGTCGGACGGAGACAGAACAAGGCCGTCAACAAACCTTGACGGTTCGTCACGTGGGGGTTCGGTGACAACTAACGCCGATCTGCTGCTAAACGACGACCTAACTGGAGCAAACGCACCCCAATTATCTAGTTGGCATTTCATCATTAATATAATTATAATGTTAAAAGACAAAAGAAAATGAATTTAGATATCGTGAACGACTCCTGCACAAGTTGGTGGCGATACGCCACGTATGCTTAGACCGAGTTGAACTTTTAGCTTCGCGGATCATCCATCCTTCACCTTCACCTTCACACACAACAAATAGACAACCGGAAGGATGAATTAGGTGCCATTTTTTTCCCAAGCCACACCATTTTCGATCGAAAATAACGTGCCATCAAATTTGGTTCATTCGACTCGGTGCAGTTGTCTCCAAGGGAAAAAAACTTACATGATTTGGCCAATTATAAAGACTTTGAATTTTCAAAGATGAATAAGATTTTATGGGATGAATGAGACATGCCAACAGTAAGTCAACGGTTGGTATTCCCGCAATTCCGTGTGCCACCTTCCGTACCAGTTGCGTTTGAAGGATCATCTTTGGCTGTGGGAAGCTCGAGAGAAGTCTCGAGATAAAGATTTCCTTTGGAAATCTTCTGATGAGATATAGACGCTTGCTCGAATGAATCGAGGAAAGGAAACGCTCAGCTGAAGAAAATACACGTAAACATTAGCTTGCGATCTGAAGTCGCATCGCATGTGTAGTTGTTCTCTGTGATGTGTATCAGCATGGTCTTTGGCTTCATATATATGCTGCCTATCTCAACCTGTTGTTGATCCAAGTCTGAGATCTATGATTCGGTCTGGAAAAGAGGGTCTGGAAGCAGTCAGTATGAAGACGAAGTAGAATGAAGAGGTGTTGTTCCCTCCGGTACCAAATAACACGGGATGGATCATCAAGAGATTGGCCTGTGATTCTCTGGAGAGCTTTCAGAAGTGCCTCACCATATCCTATTGCAATCTAAACAGAAATCACTTCCCTGTAAAATATTTAAAGAGAATGAATGGTTTGAGGAGAAGATATAATGAGCTTAAAAAGAGTCTCTTCGGAGAATTGAAGAACGGAGAGAAAAAGCACAATAAAAAGCCAAAACTAAGCCGGTTTGATATCTTTCCTGCAACGATTAGAAATGTCACGAAGGTTTTCATGCATTCAGATCAAGTGAGGTTGATGCATTGACGGCATGCAATGAGCACGTGTCTGCTGGTGTTGTTTTGGAGCGCAACTACAGGGAAAGATATCATATGTAACCTTTTGTGTAGAGAAATTTTATGGTTCTCTTTACCACTTCTGATCACTATATCTATATTAGATTTTTTTGAATGATAATTTTATTATTCTTTTGTTATATGTGGATAACATGTTAATTATTGGTCAGGATACTAAATAAATTATAGATCTAAAAGGAGAGTTAAGCAAGGCTTTTTATGTAATAGACATTAGTCCGGCTAAATGTATTATTGGTATAAGGATTATTGGTGACAAGAAGAATAGTAAACTTTGATTATCTCAAAAGAGATATATCGAAAGATTCCTGATAGATTTAACGTGAACAAATCAAACCCGTTTGTTGTCCATCATTATTCTACGAGTGACAAAGATAAAAAAGATACTACTTTATGCTTTAGCAGTTGACATTTTCATTGATATATGTCATGGTACGCATAAGGTCAAACATTGCTCGTGTAGTTGGTGTGGTTAATCGATTTCTCTTCAATTCTAGAAAAAAACACTAGATAATGATTAGATGGATTTTCAGAAAATTACTTGATGTCATTTTTGAGAAAGCAATACCTTCATTGTCAAAACTAAAAAATGTGTTGCTTTGCCTTCCATAAGTTGAATATATAGTTATAATAGAAGCTTGTATAAAACTCTTACGGATTAAAAGTTTCGGTGAATAGATGTGCCATGGCTGGTGAGTCAGCACAGCCTGGTCCACGGGTCAATGTCGTGAGTCTTTCTGTCGATTGGGCTGGATGCCGAGGTTGATTGGGTATATTATGACAGTCAAAATATTATTCATCTTTGTAATTTTTTTTTAATCGAAGCATATTGATGCTAAGTATCATTAGATTCGAGATAAAAAAATATTTATGATGTTTGCCACTTTCCTAAATTCTAACTTCGTATCTAATCTTTTCTCAATACACTTAGACTCAACGAAATTAATAAATCAAGCTTCAAAACCACGATCCAACTTGATGGGATTTTGTTAATTTTGTCAACTCTATATCATTGATTTAAAATGTCTCAGTCAACCATACCAATCTTATTCATAAAATAATTTGAACTTAGAATCTAAAAACTACTATTTAAAAAATATATAACCATAGATCAATTCTCATAATCTGACTAAAGGAGATAAATTAACTCCATCGAGTCTGAATTATAGAATTAAAATACTTAAATTTAAATTAACAGTAATGCATACCAAAATAAATTGATGTACTTCCATCCATACCGTGGGACTAAACCAATCTTAATTTCTTATCCTTTTATCATTTTGTGGGCCCAAATTGGCTGCTACGAGTGCACTCAACGGGGGTGCAGCCATGCAATTTTAGCTGCAACTTTGACCACGTACGACATGCATGACACTGCAGGAACGATCGAGAAAATGTAGGATAATGAACTGCATGTATCGAAGCCTCAAAACAAGTCCTGTTGGTGACAATCTTATAAATCTCGATCAAAACCTTATCATTTCCGTCTTCTCGCTAGAATCCTTGGTATCATTGATCTCGTGTCTTCGCTTCTTCCCAACACGATCTCAGTTTGCCACCAATGCAGTCATCAACCTCGAACTATTCATATTTATATCTTTATCTTTTTCTTCTTCTTCTCCTTCTCGTTGTTGTGGCCTAAAGCTCTTGCCTTGGGGAGTGATCAATAATAAATGATGCTGCTGCCCGTTACACGGCATGTGAAGATTCCCGACACAGGCGCTTTAAATGCGGCTCAGCAAAAGCTCCTCCAAACGACCCAGGAATGGCAGCCTGCAGAGACAGATATAGAGAGAAGAGAAAGAGGGAGAGACAGCAGACTAACACGAGCTTTATGCGTATGAAGACAGCAGCAATTGCAACCGAGAAGAAAGCAAGAGGCAGCCTTCGCTTCTTTATCTCTCTCTTTTCTCTCTTTCTTTCGTGTCTGAATGTACGATGAGTTCTTCGGATTGCTTGAGAGATGGAACATCTGATCCCACACCCAATGGAGGCTACCGGACAACACTTCCACGTCCCCTTCACGTCGCTCCTTCCGGTGCATGCGAGTCTCTCCTCTGGTGAACTTCGTGATGGGATTGGCGTCCCGCACTTTCTGCTCCACCGTACATCTCTCCTTCATGGCCATTTAAGCCTCCACCCCTACGAAACCCTTCTGCTTCCCTTGCCTTCTTTTCAGATATGTGCCCAGAAATAGCAACGCATGGATTTCGATTCATCTCTCAGTGAGATGGGCATCCCTGTCTCCGTCAGAAACCCTCACGGGGGCTCATACGAGCCATCCATTCATTGAATTCACAAACGTCGTGTGTGCTTGCCGAGAAAGAAGTTCCATCTCAGCATCATCAACGAGTTCTCTCTAGTCATAAATGATCGGTAAACTGCACGTGTAATGCATACAGAGAAGCTTAGCGATGTTCTGCTTCTGTTTCTGTTCTTCCATGCCCCCACATCTTGAGATCGGATGCTTTCCATCTGCTGCAATTTAATGAACGTATTAGATTAGTGTCGTTCTATAAAAGATTGCTACAGCTTTTACTGCCATCGTCATAGGTATCTGGAGCTTTGAAGGCATTCGGAAGGAGAGAGCAGAGGTCTCGAGTCAATCCAATCGCGCATGTCACCATGCCCGAAATAACCCAAACCTGCAATTACTACCCCATCTCATTTTCCAATCACAGCTCCTTTTCGTGCTTAATTTCTTGACCTTTTGACACCCCCATCTCTCTCCCATTTACTCCTACAACTTTTACCTATTAGAATAATCCTCCACATAACTCTCTCCACCATCTTCCCATTCAATTCTCCCTTTTCCCTGCACTGCAAGCCACCGAACCCCGCAAATGAGGCCAAAACGCTGAAAGGTGGCAGATCATATATACAACCTCTCGTCCAGCAAGTGAGGCCGATAGACCAGCCAGATTCTGTTGCTGTAAGTGACCGAGTTAGGGCATGATCACGCTTGGATGAACGTGTTCATCTTGTGCAAATTTCTTGACATCCCAACTGCGCATCGCTTTCTCATCCTTGCCTCTGTTAGTCACCGAAAAGCTATGCTTGTTTCCTTTTCTCATGCTAATACTAATAAAGCTGCAGGATTGCTGGGCGTACGGGGGAATTCCTGCGTACTTCTAATTAGTGGCATTATTACTGCCTCGCCATATCTTCCATTTCTTAGTTCCATGTACATGTGAACTCTACGGGCTTCCAGGGAGAGGTGTTTCTTGTTGTATTTTAATGCATGAGATCACTGTTCTTTCAACTCTACAGGCTATAAGAAAGGGAGGTTGCTTTCCGTGTGTGTCCGAGGAAGCAAAGTGGTAGGAAGGATACATAGAACATCTCAAACACAGAGGCCTTCCACTTCCTCTGCTGTCACTATTTCTTGCACCCCACCACCGGAAACAGCATCACCACCATCGTGTTAACGAAGTATATCATCATCATGGCCTCATCCAACAGGCACTGGCCGAGCATGTTCAAGTCCAAGCCCTGCAACGCCCACCACCAGTGGCAACATGACATCAACGCATATCAACAGAGAACTCCCTATGCATCAGGTGATGGTGGCTTATTTGGTAGTTTCTTTTCTGTGGGTAGCAAGTCATGAAGACTGCTGTAATCTTGAGAAGAGTAGTGCATTTAGATCGATAGAAAATAATGGCTATCTTTCGGTAATTGACATATATTCTTTCTTCATCAAATGAAAGTAGAGTTATAAGGTTTTCATCGCTGGATACTCTGATCCTCTGATCATCTTCCTGTTGGAGATGAGAAAGAATGAAGTGCATGCACAATTAGGGTTAGGGTTTTAGCAGCATGTATAATACAACTTTCCGATCCATCGCAGTGCCAGGTTGCGAGGAGCGCAGCCCGGAGCCGAAGCCGAGATGGAACCCTAAGCCGGAGCAAATCCGCATCCTGGAAGCTATCTTCAACTCCGGCATGGTGAACCCACCGCGCGACGAGATTCGAAGAATCCGAGCCCAGCTACAGGAGTACGGCCAGGTCGGCGACGCCAACGTCTTTTACTGGTTCCAGAATCGCAAGTCCCGTAGCAAGAACAAACAGCGTCACCTCCAAGGCGCCCGGCTGCAGCCGCGGCCCTCTGTCCCTGCTTCTCCATCTCCACCCCCTGTAACCACCAAGCCCGCCGCCACCGCCGCCGCCACATCTTCGTCTTCCTCGTCTTCCGAGCAAACCACCGGGTCTGATAAAACCCTACTGCCGGTGGCTTCCATGGGTAGTCCACTGACAACTACGATGCGTTCGACGCTGCCGGCGACATCAATGAACCCAATGTACCTTAATGGTCCCGGTCCAGCAGAGTTCGGCATTGAGTCCTTTCTTCCCGAGGGCCCACATGGGTACTGCTTTACAGGGACGGACCTGATGGGGATCGTCGGTGTTCCCGAGCAAGCAGTGGTTGCCTACCCGGGACTGTGGGGTGAACTCATGGGGCAAAACCAGGAGTGCAATAGTGGGGAGGATGCAACCAAGGTTAAGATGCAATTACACCATCTTTATGGTATTGGAGCTTCTGCTGCTGGCTCCGCTGCCACTGCTACAGGTGTTTCAACTGCTAGTGCTACTGTTACTTGTGTTAATGCTTCTGCTCGTGGTGCAACAGCTGCTGCTGCTACTTTTTCTAGCCCTATCTGTGAGATCCAAGGTATGTCGCGTTAACTCTCGATTTTGATGACTCTATATTGTATAATCTTCTTCATCACCTGGCACATCAATCTTTGTTTTCGCAATGAAGTACATCTATGGAGGAGGCTAGCTAAGCGTAGGTAGCCCCCTGCAATGAGCTTTGACCTATTACCTCATCTAAGCACCTGATCACAATCTCTCAGACTTTAGTCCAGAGGGACTGGGGGTAAAGACTCGTCGATCACCATTGCTTAAGATCGATGGCGAACAAGAGAACATACACATGCACGCAATCTGTGGGGGTAAAGGAAGAGACAGAAAGAACTGACGGAGCAAAACTGAAAACGAGAAAAGACAGTAGAAATATGATTGAGAGGATCGATCAGGGAAAGTACAAGAGAGAGGGGCCTCTATGTGGTCATGTCATGGAGAGACCGATGGGGTTTACATACGTACGTCTTCCAAAAGACACAGAAGATGGATGTCAATCATGTCATGGTTTCTCCTCCGCACTGTTCACCGGCCCCAGTAGTCATTCAAACCTAGTCTTCACTTTGTAGCGCTGTTACCTAGATTGGACGTGTGCATGGCATTCGTCCCATTCATATTTCCATTCTGTCTTCGAGGATGCTATCTTTTCAGCCGGCCTGAGTACTTACACACGGACGTTTATTCTTCTTCTTCTACTGCAGCTTTGGGAGACGGTGGTGCAGCGAGATCAACGGTGTTCACGAACGAGGTGGCCTTCGAGGTGGCAGCCGGACCGCTAAATATTAAGGAGACTTTCGGGCACGAGGCCGTCCTCTTGGATCACTCCGGCCACCCTGTCCTCACCGACGAGTGGGGTGTCACCATCCATCCTCTCCAACATGGAGCCTGCTACTACTTGGTCTCCTTCCACTTTCCATCTCTCCAATTCAACATGTTAAGTAGAAAATGCCATGAGATGCTAATGTTTGGTCATCTTCAGGTCTAGAAGAATTGGGATTACTGCGAGTGAAGCTGCGTTCATTACACTACAAATATGAGGGATCGAGTCTCCTCGAGTTCTTGCACCTTCGTATTAGCTCTCTATCTATGGACTATGTAGCTCCGTTTGTCGTGTCCAGTGATGTAACTGGTGGACATTATCTTTAAGATTTAAGCATCGAAGAGCATTTCTTGTCTTGGTTAATCATTAGAGTTTCATTTATGCATCAACTTATTCTGCAGTCAATATATATATATATGCTTTGATCTCTTCAAAGCCAACCACTCTCGCCATCGTAATAAATATATGTCACGGCATGAAAGTAGGGAGCAGTTGGTGTCGACTACAGTGAGTATACGAAAAGACGGATGCATCAATGTGTTGACCAAACCAACAGCTTTGTAGTCAAAGGGTTAGAGAGCGTAGGACTATAGTCTACGACATAGGGCTGGCCTCAGCCAAGTCTCTCAATAGACTCTTGTACTTAGCTACGTAATAACTTTGATGCCACCCTAAATATATTTTCCTTAGCACCCAAAAAGAGGCCATAAGAGACTCTATTATTGTGGCTGCGCATTGTATAAGTACATCCATACTCCATGTACGATATTTCTTGTATTTATAGCCACTTGGCTTCATAATTAATTTACATTTAATTATATATATACATACATACATACATACATACATACATATATATATCACACACACACACACACACACACACACACATATATATATATATATATATAGAGAGAGAGAGAGAGAGAGAGAGAGAGAGAGAGAGTTGCAATCTGAGGTTTGTGATCTTGAAATCGAGTTTTGGATCTCACATCTGAAATATTTTTCTTCGTCCCTCAGCTATATGTCAATGGAAGTAAGATGCAAATCCACTTTTTATGCATAACTAGGCTCGACTTTGGTTCATTAATATTGGCAAACGAGCTCAAATCAACTTTTAAGAAGCAGATATAATTGTTTTTCTAGTAAATATTGTATCGATAATATAAAATCTTGGTGCTCATATTATCGAATCCAATTTGGGATTTTGTGGGGCCCAAATCGAGTTACTTTTTGCTGTACATCAATTTCCATGTCTTAAAAATGGACGGTTTTGATTTGGCATACTCTTTTTCTCGCTCTGTTTCTTCCTTGCCCTGCGTGCTATCCAAGTCCTAACACACAGCAAGAACTGCACTTCTCTCCTTCGTTATCATGACGATGATCAAACACGATCCATGCATGTATTCGCAGTCTCGTACTCCTCAAGATGACCTTGATTGGGTCCAACTATCCATGTTAGCTCTGTAATGAGAAAGAACACAAGAAAACCTACATTAGGAAACCCCTGCACGCATTGGAATTCATGTCATGAACTAGGATTTTGTAAAGGCACCAAAAACCATGATTCATACATGTTTGTGGTAGAACAAAAGATCCAGCTTTTTTCTCTGGAAAAAGCTACTTTGAGCTGGCACACAGTTGGAAGCAAAAGCAATCACAGGGATGGAAGGAGACTACACTTTGCCTCCCCCATCATTCTGCCTCTTCTCTTTCCCGGAAAACGAAGGCACTACCTTAACCTACATATTGCTTTTAGTGGTCTACATGAGTATGCAAGGTTACACCAGTTTCATGAAGCTCTCAGCCGCCTGAGCACACTGCTTGCCTCTCACATTAAAGCAGTTGCTAATCACTCATACCCACCCATTCCATGATGATGCACAAATTGTTGGCGCATCAACGCCCAAGAAGTCTCTTGTTTCTCCCCCTCGCTCATCACCCTTCTGAATCATAAGGTGTCTTGTGGAATACACCGTTGTGAGTGGATTCGGCAGGGTTGAGTTGTCCATGGTGTTTCCTGAAAGAGTGGCCAAACTTGGATGGTTCATGTCGAGCAAACTGCTGTTACTGAGATATCGGAAGTTACTCTCGCGGCTCTTCGTCTCAAAGCTACTTAATGGCGTTGCGCAGGAGGCATTAACACCGATGAGTGCAGCTTTCTGCAGTAGCGCAGTTGCAGACACGTCCGGCGCCATCGCCATTTGCTGGTGCTGGTTCTGATGCTGAGTGCTGTAGCGAGATGGAACTTTGAGAAGAAGGGAGTGTGGGCTTTCAGTTTCCTTCATGCTGCTCGTAGGAAGTGCAACGCTAGTTAGCTCATCTGAGTATATCGAGCTTAACTGGTCGGGATATTGGGATGCAAATGGATTTCCATAGAGGTCGTCGGTGCTGAGAGGCTTGGTTTGATGAGGATTCAAGAGATCGTTGCGTTTGCTTAAGTTCTCTGTACGATCTCCTCCACCCATCCAGAGAGAAAGCTCACGTCTTGCATGCCCGACCATTTCACTCTCGGTCATCGTAGTGTTCGAAATGGCGCCAGAGAAGTCGTGTGCTATGTTTGATCTCATCAAATCTCTCGTAAAGCTGAAGTTGCCATTGCAGATGGATGTTAATCTGCTCATGTTTGATGCTGCGACTCTCGCTGACTCTTCCGCTAAGGCATCGCAGAAGGCCCTGTGGGTTATGAAGCTGTCCCTCCTGTTTATGAGAGAACAGACATGTAGTTGTTATGTTTATATATACAGCAGCAAAAGCAGATCAGGAGAAGAATGCTGTGGATCGATTTGTATAGGTGTACATGCACCATTTTTGTCGAAGCCACATAAGAAAAGGAAGAATGATAGCTTGGAAGTTACTGTTACGTTATACATGGAAGTTGCAGCAGAAACCAGAGGAAAGATAGCTTCGGAGCATCCTATCCATGGACTCTAAATCGATGCTGCTACCAATGGGAGATTTGGAGCAAATGGAGAATGAACAGAGGAAGAATACCTCGAGAAAACGGTTCCACAATCGCAGCGGTACTCCCTGGTGCCGCAGGTCTTGGAGTGGGCTTTGCAGTCGGACTGCACCGCGTAGCGTTTGGAGCATTTGTCGCACTTCCACTTCTTCTCGCCGTGCTTGCGGCAGAAGTGCTTCTTGATGCCGGTGAGGTCGCCGAGCGCCCTCGACGGATGGTGGTGCACGCAGCTCTTCTCCGGGCACACGTACACCCTCTTCCTTGGCTCCTTGCTCGTTCTCTGCCTCAGCTTCCATGGGAGGTTGTGACCGCGGCGGTGGAGCTGCAAGTTTTGATCCCTCTGGAACCCTTTGCCGCATATCTCGCACAGAAACCGGTTGGTGGCCAACAGTGTCTTTGGTGACAAGGCAATCACTTCTGCTTCAGGATCTGCTCATTAACCATACAATTCACTTCATACTTAGCATCCTAAAATGATAACACAGAAGCAAGGAAGATGATATATATGTATGTATAGAATCCTTGCCTGGTGTTCCTGGCAGGCTTCTCTTCTTCTTCGCAGGAGGAGGATTGGTACCTGAGATTGCTTCTCCTGCCATTCTTCTCTTCTTCCTTCTTGCTAGCCCAAAGGAAGGGTGCTTAAGAAGTGAAGGGACGGATGAAAAGAAAGCGAACTAGTATATAATAAAGAGAAGAGAAGGAGAGGCAAACGTGCATGATGAACACATGATGAGTTGGGAGCAAAAGCTGTGGCTCGTTGCCTGTCCTCTCTGGAATCATTATCACATAATTAAACTTTCTTGGTCACTGTGATCGAGGTGACCAACACATCTCAAGATGCAACGAGTCATCCTATTGTTCCTTACTAAGAGATTGCAACACAGCTGCAGGCATATCACCAGCTCTCGATCCTCCTCAAAAGGAGGATTAGTACAAGTATGACAATGGTCTGTTGCCACGACAAGGAGTCGAAGAGGATCAACCAGGGAAACAGTGAATCCATGGAACTACGGGAAGGAGGTCGTCGGCATGTTGGCTGACTTTTTCTCTCTCTGCGGCTCAATGATACTGCAATGATGCTGTGCACATCAGAGCTGTTCAAAGGGAGCTCATTTCATATGAGAGTCTTTTGGAGCTTAGCTTCTGGACTGCAGTGGCTCCCAGAATATTCTCTCCTCGTCCCACAGCCCCCATGCACCACCTCCCAACATCTTCCCCGACAATAGATTCGTTTGCAAAGCCCCAAATCTACTCTTCTTTTGCTCAGGGTACACTGCCTCAGAATCTGGCTTAGGAGTTGTAGAAGAGAGAGAGAGAGAGAGAGAGAGAGAGAGAGAGAGAGAGAGAGAGAGAGAGAGAGAGAGAAGGGGATAAAATATAGACCCAGTAACAGGAGAGCCTGGGAGAGAGTGACCGTGTCACCAAGAGTATGTTTGTTTCTTTTGGATTGATGTGGACTGTCTTCAGTCAATGCTGAGAAAAGATACCGAGTGAGCAGCAATCTCATGCAGCGTTATTATACTTGGTGATTCGAGCACAGTAAAATAAGTTGCTTGTTCTCATTTATCATTCACTTGAAGCTCCGATCACTAATAGTATTCATCGAATACTATCGAAAAAAGTGATGGCAATATATAATGGACTTGATGTCATGTGCAGCTTATTGCTACTGTGCATTGCGACATGGTTAGACGTGCCTTTACCACATGCATCCATTCAAATGATACTATCCTGCAGCCTTTAACTGCTACAAAGGTGCTTCCTTATTAGGGTTACGGCATGGCCTACGTAATAAAATACTGAAAAGGTTGCTTGACTCCTTTGACAAAGTGTAGTAAAGCATCGTGCACAGCAACCTTCCTTTTAACATGCACAGCAAAGTGATTCAAATTGAAGTGTTTTCCTGTCA